ACCCCCATCCCATGAGGCTCAACAAGTTTCGTCACTGTGGGTTCAAGCCTGACTGTCCAATGGCCACAGAGACAAAGATTTTTGCCTTGCATGGAGCTAACCCCAGTTTGGTCCACAGCGCCACATAAGGTATTGGGGCACCACCAGAAGTGGCCCCAGAGCACAGTCAGGAATAAGTCCTGAGCAACATGAAGAATAGCCCAAAAGCCTCCACTGTCAATTTTGCTTAATTTTTTAAAAATTCCTAGGCCCTGTGAAAAAAAAGATGGTTACAAGATGTGTGGGGAACTGGGACAAAAAGAGCAGGGAAAAAAATCAATTTCCTAACAGCAATAGCTTGAGGACGCTAGTGGTAGTGAAGAATATACACAGAAGGGAGACGCTGAACTCATAAAAGTTACTTAATAATGGAAACCAATGATAAATTAATTTTAAAATAATAAACTGCTTAATTAAGTATGTAGTACACAAACATATTTCACATAAAAATTCAAAAATTGAAATCTAACAAATATTTTCTACATCACCCTCCCCAATCTTAATTCTTTGATTTCCCCAAATTATTAAGTTATTAACCATTATTAAAAGTTCTCTCATTTTTCACTTTATACAAGACACATATACACACAAATATCAAAATATACTGCTCAGAACAAATACCAAAATATATTGTTTAATAATTTTTGACTTTTTATATATATAATTCGCATTATAATTAATGTTGCTATTATATTACAGTAAGTCCTTCTTGTTTATACCTAAAATTATTATTCTAGAATATATAATGCTTAATTAGGACCACTGGATCAAAAAGAATGCATTTTAAAGGAACTTTCAATGAATTTCATTACACTTCTCTTCAAAAAGTTGTAGTGGCTTGCTTTTCAAACCTGCATTCTCCCCTGAACATAGATTTTGCTTGTTTGTCTCTATGTTTCTTTTCTTACCTTTTTCAACTCTGGAGAAGCCTCTGTTCTTCTTTTTGTTTGTTTTTGTTTTGGGGCCACACTGGGTGATGCTCAGGGGTTACTCTTGACTACTCTGCACTCAGGAATAACTCGTGATTGCTCGAAGCACCACATGGTGTGCTGAATCTGGGTCAGCAGCATGCAAAATAAGCACCCTTCACCATTCTCACTCCAGGCCCTGTGTTCTCTCTTAAACATACACTTCTCTCTTTCTCTCCACTCACATCTTTTGAAATTTAAGTTTCAATTAAAAATTTCTTGCTTGGAGGCTGGAGAGATATAGTATATCAGGTAAGGCATTTGCCTTGCATATAGCCAACCCAGGTTCGATATTTGGCATCCCATATGGTCCTGTGAGTAACGCCAAGACTGAACTCTGAAGACAGTGCCAGAAATAAAACCAGAGCACTGCTGGATGTGGCCCCCAAACAAGAAACAAAATAATATCTTGCTTCATACACACACACAAAAAGTTGTAGTACTATATATTCCCACTTCTTCAGGGACTCACTATCCTAGATATCTTTTCACCCAAAGCAATAAGTAAAATTATGCGCCACTGTTGTTTTAAGATTCATCTGCCTTATTATGATGAATTTGAGGATCCTTTTAAATGCTTGTTGTAGTGTATAGTTCTTTTGTGAATAATATATTCACATATATACTTTTTGTTCATTTTCCTATTATGACAGTCTTAATAGGACCAAAAAACTTAACACTTCAAACTTAATATTTAAGTTCAAATGTAAAACTTAAACTTTAGTACTAAAACACCTAACACAAAAATAACCTCATTAAACAGTAAGGAGAAAAGCTGCCCACTTTCTCAAAGAAGACATACAAATGGCCACTGATCACTTGATCACTTGACATCCTGTTACTCATTGATGTACTGGAGCGGGCACCAATAACATCTCCATTCATCCCTGTCGCGTGATAAGTGTAGCTCAATGGCGTCTGCTCATTCCAGGAACACAAGAGCCTCAAACTGATCATTCAGGGTCTTGACGAAGAAGTCTGACCATCTCGTAGGTGGGCGGTCACACAATCTTTTGACGTCTATAGCAGTCGTCTCCAAATTGCATTACGTGTCCAGCAAATCTGATTTTCAATGCCTTGGCAAACAAGACAGTGTCCCTGATTCTTGATCATCGACGGAGGTCACAACTCTGGATTCTTTCTCTCATTTGAGTAAAGCATAATACTCCAAGCATAGCTCTTTCCATTCTTCTTTAGGAGACCCGAGTAGCGTTCTCATCCTGTTTTCACAGGTCCCACCTAGGTCTCTGAGGCGTATGTTAATGCACGAAGAACAGTGGAATTGAAGAGATGTGCCTAGAGCTGGAGGTTCTTCATCCTCTTAGCTATTTCTTTGACGCTCTTGAAGGTATTCCAATCTGCTCTCTTCCTCCTGCGCAACTCAGGTGCCAGGTCATTCATCATGTTGACTTCTTGACCTAGGTACACATAACTGTTGCATTCGGAGATGGTCGTTCCATTGAGAGTGAATGGAATGCCAGGAACGAGTCCGTTTCTCATAAACATTGTCTTCATGAGATTCAGCTGTAGTCCAACCTTTCCACACTCCCGGTCGAAGTCGGCCAGCATTTGTGCCGCTCGGCTAATGTTTGGTGTTATTAGAACAATGTCATCAGCGAAGCAGAGGTAGTGTAGTTGCCGACTGTCTATCTTCACTCCCATTCCTTCCCATTCCAGTCGCCGCAGGACGTTCTTGAAGGTGGCACTGAAGAGTTTCAGTGAAATAGTATCACCCTGCTGAACCCCTTTCTTGACATGGATGATCACTTCCTTGTAGAATGGTGAGATCATGGTAGTGAATCCGTAATACAGCTTACAGAGGATCCTGATGTACTGAGTTTGAACTCCCTGTTTGGGTAGGGCTTCGATGACCACTTCAGTCTCAACAGAATCAAAGGCCCTCTTTAAATCAATGAATGTGAGACAGAGCGGCATCTTGAACTCCCGAGAAACCTCAATGACGTTGGTTACCGTGTGGATATGGTAGATTCGTGCTGAATCCTTTCTGGAACCTGGCTTGCTTGCATGGTTGTCCTTCATCTAGTGTTCTGCCAATCCTTTTCAGGATGACTCAAGTGAACAGCTTATAGACGACAGACAACAGGCCGATCGGGCAATAATTGCCAATGTTGTCAATGTCTCCCTTCTTGTATAGTAGAACAGTCCTACTGGTTTTCTATTGGGATGGAACCTTGAGTTCAGACAGGTAGCGTATGAAGAGCCAAGCCAGTATATTGATGAGTCCTGAAGGCAGGTTCTTCAGGTGTTCAGGTCTGACCTTGTCTGGGTCAGGTGCTGTTCATGTCTTTACCAACGAAATGTTGTGCCGGATTTCAGAAGGCAGAACATTGGGAATGACATATCCATCTTGCGGAATCTGGTATGTGGGCAGGTGGACGTGGCTATCGAAGAGATTTGAGTATAAGTCGTGGATAACCTTCTCCACTGCCCTTCTGGAAGATGTGATAGCTCCATCAGGACATCAGAGGGCAGTCATCTTGGTCTTGTAGTTGGCAAAGGAGAGGCAGGCATTGCGAATGCTTTTCCCAGCTTCTGCCACAATGGCCAGCTCTCCTGCTCTTCTCTGAGGTCTTCCTTTATTGCTTCTCTGCACTGCTTTGCGAACTCAGATGTTAGTTTGTGATTGCCTGAGGCTTGCACCCAGCCACGGTGGCAAATGAGCTCAAGAGTTTTTGAAGATAGGCATCTTTTTGTGGCTTTCTCTCCCTTGGCGTTTCGCGCACAATCATGGAGGTGCTGAACCTGTCGATCGTATTCTTCGTCAATGTTGTCAATGATGGCATCATCCCATGTTGCCGCAAAAGTGCCAAAAAGCTCCCAGTTGGTGGTTGTTCTGAGAGTTCTCTTCTTAAATTTTACAGCCCTTTCTGCCTGCTCTGTGAAGTAGAATTTTGCACAATAGAGACAATGGTCTGATCCCGTTTGGAATTTTGGGACAATAGCAACATCAGTCAGGCAAAACCGTTGATTGAATATGATATGGTCAATTTTGTTGTGGAACTGTCCACTGGGAGACTCCCATGTCCAACATTTAGATTCGGCCTTCTGGAATTGTGAGTTACCATGGATGGTCTTCGTTGACATGATGAACTCAGACAGTCTCTCAACCTGTTTGTTCCATTCTAGGCCATAAGTCCTTCTGTGGAGTTCTTCAGCTTATCTTCTCTGCCCTATCTTGGCATTAAAATCACTGACAATGATCTTGTAGAATGATCAGCTCTATGTAGAGCTTCTCAATTTCTTCTTCATCATAATTGGATGTTGGTGCATAGAAATGAAGATAGAATTTGCCAGCAGTGAGCCACATCTATTCAAGCATAATTGTCCAATTAGGGCTATTAGGCATTCGAATGAACCAATGCTCATGGCCAAGTTCGTGTTGACAAGGACACCGACACCACCGAAGCCTCTTTTGTCGCATATTCCAAGGAACAGTTCTCCAGTGCCGAAAATGGCGTAATGTGGTTGATGCCTTCTTGTCTTAGTCAAACCAATGATGTCGTACTTGATCTTTCATCTTGCACCATCAGGTCCTCAATGGATGCATCCGATGCCAGCGTACATGCATTGAAACGGCCATTAGGTATATGAAAACACACTCTTCGTTAATGCTTACAATGGTCTAAGTCCAAACACTCTACTCCTTATTGAGGAGTATATAACCCTGGAAAAGTTAAGCTAAGCTGCAGTTTTCTCACACATGAATAAGAAGTTAATAACACTCTAGTCCACTGTGAGGATTAAAAGATATTAGAGTTACAAAGCATTTATGAGAGAGTAAGAACCCAATAAAGTTACCAATATTATTATAGCTAATCAAAGATAGTCATATGAAAATTTCAAAGCCCTTATTATTACTAATAAACAGAATTTGGTCAACATGGAAAGGAATATGTGATATCTTTCATTCATAATACTTTCTCTACATAAGTTTATTAAACAGAGATATTATATCCCAATTACTACACTTACGATTTTTGTGGCCTAGTGTCATAATTCTATCCATATCATCAGCATTATTTACCACGTAAGCTGATAAATCTTTGATATAAACTCCTACATCAGGTCTTTCTTTAACCTAAAAAATAAAAGAAAGAAAAGATGTTATACAAATATACAGTTTTCCAGTTTTCATTAAACATGTTTTATGTCCCCACTGATAAGGATAGGGTGATAAATTAGGTAGACACTCACTCTAGGCTCATGAGGTGACAACTGACAGGAAGGACATATAGATGAATAACGCAAAAAATTATTCTGATTGTGATAATGCCATAAAAGAAAAAGAGAAAATTTTAAGAATACAGAAGAGATCAGTGGGGCTGGAGAGACAGTACAGCAAGCAGAGAACTTGCCTTTCATAAAGCTGACCTGCATTCAATATCTGGCATCCCAGATGGTCTCCCAAGCACCACCCAGAATGATCCCTGAATGCAAAGCCATGAGTAACCCCTGAGTATTGCCAGGTGTGGCACAGAAACAAAAATTAAAAATTAAACAAACAAAACAATAAAAACTAGGGTAGCTGGAAAGGGCAGGAAATGGGAAGTGAGATATTTAGCTCAAGAACTATGCAAAAATAATATTAAGCAGTTATTAGTCTTTATCATAAAAGTAATTTGAAGAGCCACAGACCCCATATTGGACCTCACTCTTCATTGTAATAGACCCTAACAGCACAAGGCAAACTCTCCTTCCCTAGCAAAGAGCTGTGCTATCTATAGTTCAGAGTCATTCAACAAGATTGCTTATGACTACCACTGGACCTGAACCTACCAGTTCACATCTAATCACGAGCAAGCAAACCATACCCGTAAAGAGAAAAGATATTTGCAGACCTCCCAACACATTGCCAATTAGCAAAGGGGTGCCTGCTGTGCTTCCTTGCCAGCTCTGGATGTCATGCTCCGTTACCATGAGGAATGGAGACTCCAGATTGACATTAATACCATACAATACTACTTAAGATGGCATGAATGAGTAATGTAACAACTTAAGTGGATTTCCACAGTGTTATATCTAATAAACGTCAATCTCCAGAAACCAGAGAGATAGTACAGAAGGTAAAGGCACTTGCCTCACCTGCAGCTGCTGAGGCTGATTCGAATCCCCAACATCACATATGTCCCCTGAACAATGCCCAAGTTGTTCTTAAGCACAGAGCCAGGAACAGTCTCTGAGCACTGCTGGTACAATCCAAATCCCCACTCCCTGCCCACCAAAAGAGGGAGTGGGGGGCAATCGCAAAAGATTACGGTTATATTTCTCTAATACTTTATTTTTTTGTCACACCCAGCAATGCACAGGCGTTACTCCTGGCTCATTCACTCAGGAATTACTCCTGGTGATGCTCGGGGAACCATATGGGATGCTGGGAATTGAACCCGGTTTGGCGCGTGCTAGGCAAATGCCCTACCAGTTGTGCTATCGCTCCAGCCCCTCTCTAACACTTTAGAAAATATAAATTTTTAGAAACAGAAGCCAGGTAGGTGACTATCAAGGTTAGGGATGGAGAAAGTGGACTGGAGAGAAATGGATGTGGCCAATATGAAGCATCCATGCAACGGCAATAATCTAGTACCCTGACTGTGGTAGTGGATATACTAAGCTACACACAATTTTTTAATGTTATTTGGAGAGATAACATCAGGGGGTTAAGATGCTTTCCTGGCACATGGCTGACCCCAGTTTGATACCTAGCACCACATGGTTCCCCAAGCCTGCCAGGAATGATCCCTGAGCACAGAACCAGGCTTAAGCCCTGAGTATGGCCAGGTACTGCCCAAACCCCCACCCCCAAAGAAAAAAGTACAGAACACAAATGAATATAAGAAAAATGTAACAACTGAATAAAACCTGTGAATTGTATCCATAACAATAACCTGGCTGCAATACTATACTACTTGATAAATTTTGCCATCGGGAAAAACTAGGATAAGGAAAAATAGGATACATCTGTGTAAAGGGTGATCTCTAAATTATTTCTTAGAACTGCACGTGGATTTATAACTAGTTCAACAAAAAATAATTTTAAAAGCTCAGATTAGAAGCGGAAGAGATAGTACAACAGGTAGAATGTTTGCCTTGCCACACACTAAAGCTGGCCAAGATATGAAGCCCAGTATCACATATGGTTCCCAACCAAAAGTGATGCCTGTGCACAGAGCCAGGAGTAACCCCTAAGCAACACCAGGTGTGGCCCAAAAACAACAACAACAAAAATTAGTACAAGAGGACATTGGTGATGGGACTGGTATTGGAACATTGCATGCCTAAAACAACTTTATTATGAACAATTTCATAAATCACAGTGTCCTAATAAAAAGAATTTAAGTGTAGATGAAAGTATAGTTTCTACGTCTGAAGTAAAATTTACTTGTTATTACTGTTTTTGGCATATCAAATTCGCCACAGGCAGCTCGCCAAGCTCTGCCGTAAGGGATTTGTATTTACATGAAGGAAAACTGAAAGGATATAGAAAGTATTTATCTTAGGGTGGGGCAGATGGGGACAGAACAAGACATCAAGCAAAAGTGTTCAGAATATTTTTATTTTTGAACCATATGATCATATTTCCTGGCCACAGAAAAGTAAAAATTAACTTGCTAAACATTTTATAACTTTTTAAAAAAGTTACATAGAATTAATATGAATATAATAAACAATGTATTACTTGAAAAACACTCCAAACTCAATTAACCTTACCTCCAATCTCTGTGTCTGATCCTTGCCCAAAAGATCACGAACTTCTTCATTATATATTTCCAAATAAGACACTCTAACCAAAAATCTATAAACAAAATATCATTTTTAAAATGTAAAAGTAAATTTTTTTTCTTTTTTAAACTTATTTATTGAATCATGAGTTACAAAATTACAAAGTTATTCATGATGAGTTTCAGGTATACAATGTTCAAGAATCAATGGCTCTCTCTACCAATTTCCCATGAATCCCTCCCAACCCTCCAGCCTGTCTCTATAGCACCCACTTTTTCCTTTTTTCTTTTTTCCTTTAAGACACTGTGGTTTGCAACACCGTTATTGAGAGGGAACATATCCCTTTACCTCCTTTTGGCACCCAGTTCTCATCCAGAGTGACCACTTGCCCCTATCATTGTCAGAGTGCCCCCCCCCCCACCCTCCAGTATGGCAAGCTTACTAAGGACCAGTTGTCCTGTTTTTTGTTTCTATTGTCTCTGGGCATTATTCTCCTACTATGATTGTTCATATGCCACAAATAAGTGCCAATATTCTGTATCTGTCCCTCTCATTTCACTCAGTATGATACTCTCCATTTCCATCCAATGTATCAGCAAATTTCATGACTTCATCTTTTCTAATGGCTACATAGTATTCCACTGTGTATATGTACCATAGCTTCTTTATCCAGTCATCTGTTCTTGAGCAACAGTAAAACTATTTCTATGATCAATCTGGTTTTGTTGTTGTTGTTTGGTTTGGGGGGTCACACCCAACTATGCTTAGGACTTACTCCTAGTTCTGTGCTCAGAAATCACTCCTCATGGGCTCAGGAGACCATATGGGATGCCAGGTATCAAACTCGAGTCAGCTGCAAACAAGGCAAACTTCCTTCACACTGTACTATTGCTCTGGCCCCTAAATAAGATCAATTTAACTGTGTATATAAACTTTGTATTTATAAGCCTTTCCTAAATTTGTCCTTCTCGATATTAAGAATATCAAAATTCTTTTTTTTTTATTTTTTATTAGTGAAACACCATGAGGTACAGTTGTAGATTTACAAATTTTTGTGCTTGGGTTTCGGTCATACCATGATCAAATACCCATCCCTCCACCAGTGCCCATTTTCTACCACCATGGATAATATCCCTCCCCCCATCCCCCCATCCCCCCCTGCCACTGTGGCAGGGCTTTCCCTTTTGTTCTCTCTCTCTTTTTGGGTGTTGTGGTCAGCAAAAGAGGCATTGAGTGGCAAACATGTTCAGTCCATAGTCTACTTTCAACATGCATCTCCCCACCTGGGAGGATCCTCCAAACACCCTCCATTTGGTGCTCCCTTCTCTATCTGTACTGCCCTTTCCCCTAGAATACCCGGCTGGCCTCTAAGCTATGGAGTAATCCTCCTGGTGTTGATCTCAGCTATTCTTGGGTATTAATCTCATATTTTGTTACTTTATATCCCCCAGATGAATGCAATCTTTCTATGTCTATCCCTCTCTTTCTGACTCATTTCACTTAGCATGATACTTTCCATATTGTACCACTTGTATGTAAATTTCATGACTTCATCTTTTCTAAGAGCTACATAGTACTCCATTGTGTAGATGTACCAAAGTTTCTTTAACCAGTCATCTGTTCTTGGGCACTCAGGTTTCTTCCAGTTTCTGGCTACTGTAAAGAGTGCTGCAATGAACAAACAAGTGCAGATATCACTTCAACTATACATTTTTGCCTCTCGGGGATATATTCCCAGGAGTGGTATTGCTGGGTCAAATAGGAGCTCAATTTCTAATTTTTTGAGAAACGTCCATACTGTTTTCCAAAAGGGCTGAACTAGTCGGCATTCCCACCAGCAGTGAAGGAGTGTCCCTTTCTCGCCACATCCGCGCCAGCAAGAATATCAAAATTCTTTTACCTTGTATCACCCTCTGCTTTTGCAATGTGACCAAATATATGAGCAAATGAATTTGGAATGATTCCTCTAAGTTCAGGAACAGCTCGAACACCTTCCATTGTGAAAGTTTTGCCTGTTCCAGTTTGTCCATATGCAAAAATAGTCCCTGAAAATGATAAAGAAAATCAATCAACTTTAGATCTAATGCTATAGAACAATGCTATCTGAAATGTAATCTTGGACCCTATAATATAACTTCTTTCCTGGGTTGACAAGTATTCTAGTACAAAATTTTACCTTTATTATCAACAACTGCAAATATTACAATTCTGTGCCACAGAATGAAGCTCTGTTAAATAAGTAGTCTGGGAAATAGTCATGTTAATAAAAGTACTCCTAGTCAGGGGACTGGCTCAAAGGACAGCTATGCAGGCTTTGCATGCAGTTTCAATTCTCAGTCCCCCAAATGCTGCTTGAAGTAGCTCATAAATAAAAGTGCCCTGCATCTCCTAGTAATAAAATATACCCCAAACCACAAATTAAAAATCTTACATTATAATTAGTTTCTAACTATAAGATATTTATATACTAATTACTTAATACTGGAGCCAAGACAATTGCTCAAAAGACTGGAGTATACGCTTTCCATAAAGGAGTTCCAGGTTCATTCTTAGCATTGCCCAATCCCCCAGACACTAAGACAGATATAATCCCAAGCACTGCTGGGTATGACCCCCACCACCACCAAAGGGAAAAAACCCTACTTGTAAAGGACAATTACAGCAAAAAAAAAAAAAAAAAGGCTAGGCACCAATAGTGAAAAATTAAATACAACCTTAACCTCATGTATGTGGTATATGTCATGTTAGGAAGAGTATCTATCAAATAATAAGAAGGGTGAGAAAAAGAAAAAGAAAAAAGAGGAAACAAAAGAAAACAGGTCCTGAGTGAAAATATCTGTTTGGATCTTCCTATCTGCCACTTTCAGTCTATTGGAATGAGGTCAGGTTCACCCAATGACTGACCGAGGATAGGAATAATCAAGGGTTGGAGCGATAGCACAGCGGGTAGGGCGTTCGCCTAACAAGTGGCCAACATGGCTGACCCGAGTTCGATTCCTCTGCCCCTCTCGGAGAGCCCGGCAAGCTACCGAGAGTATTTGATATGCCAGACACAGTAACAACAAAGTCTCCAATGGAGACGTTACTGGGCCCGCTCGAGCAAATCGACGATCAACGGGAGGGCCTTTACCTTTACCTTTACCTTACATGATAAAAACCAAGTCAAATAATTTACTTCAAGAAATCATCCTAATGGCTAGCAGAGAGTTTACATTAAGTGGTGGGTATTTTTTTTCTTCCTAATCCTGGAATGTGATCTTTATTTTTTTATAGAGATGCTTTTAACAGTGCTTGGGGTGTCTGGGAACCACTCTCAGCAAGGCAACAGCCTGGCAGTGCAGGCACAGTGTTTCAGGGACTACAAAGGCCATGCTGAGGGAGACATGAGGTGTAGGTGGTCAAACTCAAGTCGTCACTCATGTTAGGCATGTGCTCTATTGAACTATCTCTCTTGCCCAAAACCTTGTTTTGTTGAGTATGTGTTGGGGTGAGGGTAGGGAGCAGGCGATGGTTACTGGGAGAGAGAGGCCTTCCAAGGAGGTGCTGGAGGAGAGCCTGGGGATCACTCCTCAGTGCTCAGGGATTACTCCTGATGGGATTCAGGGGATGATATGGAATGCTGGGGATTGAGCCCAGGTTGGCATGTGCAAGGAAATACCCTACCCACTGTACTATCATTCCAGCCCCAGAAATATACTTTTTAATGTGACAATTATAGGTAATTACACATATAACTCAAACTCTCTAAATAAAATCATCCATTGAACAAAAAATAACACTCACTCAAGTGTGACATTGTGCTAGGCACCAATAGTGAAAAATTAAATACAACCTTAACCTCATGTATGTGGTATATGTCATGTTAGGAAGAGTATCTATCGAATAATAAGAAGGGTGAGAATCAGGAATGAGAAATAGAGTTTTACATAGGAATAAAGGATATCAAAACAGAAGAACTGATGAAGGAATCACTTGATCACTTGACTTCCCGTTAATTGTCGATTTGCTCGAGCAGGCGCCAGTCATGTCTCCATTTGTCCCTGTTGCGTGCTAGTGTAGCTCAATGGCGTCTGTTCACTCTAGGAACACGAAGAGCCTCAAACCGATTGTTCATGATCTTAATGAAGAAGTCTGACCATCTGGTAGGTGGGCGGCCACGCGGTCTTTTGACATCCCATGGAATCCAGTTGGTAACGGCTCTAGTTCAGCCCTCCCGTTGATTTGCTCGAGCGGGCCCAGTAACGTCTCCATTGGAGACTTTTTTGTTACTGTGTTTGGTATATCGAATACGTCACGGGGAGCTTGCCAGGCTCTGCTGTGCGGGCGAGATACTCTCGGTAGCTTGCCGGGCTCTCTGAGAGGGATGGAGGAATCGAACTCGGGTTGTTGGCTGCGTGCAAGGCAAACGCCCTACCGCTATGCTATCGCGAGCAGTAGCACAGCGGTAGGGCGTTTGCCTTGCACACAGTCAACACAGCCAACATGGACAACCCGAGTTCGATTCCTCTAGTTCAGCGGTCATCTCTAAATCTCAATACGTGACCAGCCCATCTGATTTTTGACGCCTTGGCAAACGAGACAGCGTCCCTGATTCTTGATCGTCGACGGATGTCGGAACTCCGGATTCTTTCTCTCATTTGAGTGAAACGTGATATTCCAGGCATAGCTCTTTCAATTCTTCTTTGGGAGACCTGAATAGCGTTCTCATCCTGTTTGCGTAGGGCCCAGGTCTCTGAGGTGTATGTTAGTGCAGGAAGAACAGTGGAATCTAAGAGATGTGCCCGGAGCCAGATATTCTTCGTTCTCTTAGCTATTTCTTCGACGCTCTTGAAGGCATTCCAAGCCGCTCTCTTTCTCCTGCGCAGCTCAGGTGCCAGGTCATTTGTCATGTTGACTTCTCGACCTAGGTACACATAACTGTTGGATTCGAGGCTGTTTCTCATAAACATTGTCTTCGTAAGATTCAGCTGTAGTCCGACCTTTCCACACTCACGGTTGAAGTCGGCCAGCATTTGTGCCACTTGGCTAATGTTTGGTGTTATTAAAACAATGTCATCAGCAAAGCGGAGGTGGTGTAGTTGCCAACCATCTATCTTCACTCCCATTCCTTCCCATTCCAGTCATCGCATGATGTTCTCTAGGGTGGCACTGAAGAGTTTCGGTGAAATGGTATCATTCATTTATTATTATCCATGACTTCTACTCAGATTTCTTCGATAGCCATGTCCACCTGCCCACATACCAAATTCCCCAGGATGGATATGTCGTTCCCAATGTTCTCCCTTCCGAAATCCGACACGCCATTTCCTCAGTAAAGAAACAAACAGCACCCGGCCCAGACAAGGTCAGACCTGAACACCTGAAGAACCTGCCGTCAGTACTCATCAATACACTGGCTCGGCTCTTCACATGCTACCTGTCTGAATACAAGGTTCTGTCCCAATGGAAAACCAGCAGGACTGTACTACTGTACAAGAAGGGAGACATCCACGATATTGGCAACTATCACCTGATCTGCCTATTGTCTGTCATCTACAAGTTGTTCACTCGAGTCATCCTGAATAGGATTGGCAGAACACTAGATGAAGGACAACCATGCAAGCAAGCTGGGTTCCGCAAAGGATTCAGCACCATCGACCATATCCACACCATAACCAAGCTCATTGAGGTTTCTCGGGAGTTCAAGATGCCGCTCTGTCTAACGTTCATTGATTTAAAGAAGGCCTTTGATTCTGTTGAGACGGAAGCGGTCATTGAAGCCCTAGTCAATCAGGGCATTCAAACTCAAATGGAAGGAATCATTGATGGAAAAGGCAAGCAAATGCATACAGATCTAGAGAAAATGGCAGGGGCCTGATCACACTGACATCAAGATCAGGTTAAGGCTTTCAGAGTTGTCCTGATAAGAAAAGTCATAAAATGATTTTTCATTCAAAGGAGTTAGATTATAGGGGGCCGGAGCAATAGCACAGCAGGTAGGGCATTTGCCTTGCACGCGGCCGACCCAGGTTTGATCCCTGGCATCCCATATGGTCCCCCAAGCACTGCCAGGAGTAATTCCTAAGTGCAAAGCCAGGAGTAACCCCTGAGCATTGCTGGGTATGACCCAAAAAGCAAAAAAAAAAAAAAAAGAGTTAGATTATAGTCACCAAGGACATCACAAATCCAAAGAAATAGGAGAGGAGATATAAAGAATCCAGAAGTCTGAGTGATCAGCCAAGAGACAAATGGTACTGACAATAAGAGAGAATGAATGAGAAAGGCAGAAGGATTTCAGAGGATATTTAGGTGAAAAAAACCAATAAAACCTGTGCAATAACAAGCTGTAAGGGGAGAAGGTAAAGAAATTAATCAAAGGATTTCAAATTCTGATTTCAACAAGGGGCATCTAGTTATGCCATGTGTAAAAGGCAAATACATTTAAAAAGAAGATCATGAATTTATTTGGGGGGCATACGGAGCTTTAAATTTTAAAAGCCTATGATATATCATCACTCTACTCAGTAAACTTCAAATGGCTAATCATTTTCAGACTTTTTGTGGAAAGTAATAATAAAATATTTTTATACATGGAAATAAAAAGTTTCAAGCTTTTAAAAACTCATTAAATGTTTTGAGCTCTGTCACTGAGAATGTAACTTAGGAGGGGGAGGAGGGCCTGGGGATGATGGTTCAATGGCAAAAAGACACTTGCCTTGCAAACATGAGGACACAAGTTAGATCCCTGGTGCTACCCACATGCATCAAGCACAGTACCAGCAGCTCTGCTCTCTGGACTCCTGGTGCCACAGAGTATCTCAGGTTACACCAGAGTCAGGTGTGTGCCCCTTGGCCATTGCAGCAACCACAAAGGGAAGAGAAGGGAGAATTTTATTTTTGAGGGTAATATAACATTGTTGCCAATAAGATACATGCAATTTTTATTGCATCCAAGGAGCTAAAAGTATCAGAAAATTTTAGACTGCATGTAATTCAGGGGGTGTTGAGAATTGAATCCGGGTCTTGACACATACAAAGCACATGACCCTGTGAGGCAGAGCATATG